GTATAGAAATGCACTTCGCTGCATCCTGTATCCTGCAGCATGTCGTTTTTAACATTAACCTTGTAGCTTAACCTACCTATGTAATCTGTATGTGTCTCTTTCCCACCATGTATTTACCATCCATTAGCTGTCTTCGCATTTCTGATTAGGATGTGATTTTAAGCCATTTATTTAAACGTGTTTATCTCATATGGACTAGACCATATTTTCGTCAGCAGGAGTATTAAAGTATAATTCTAACATTTGATCCTAAATAATGTGATGATAAATCTTTTAATTGTAAGCTACTATGTTTTTTTTTTTTTTTACTTTTATTTGTTCTGGAGGTGAAATACCTAAAGAAATTAAGAGAAGAAAAAAAAGTAAACTGGTGCTTACCTCTTGTTTGCGGTCATCAGTGGAGTGCTGATACTGCCAGTAGGTTATGGCTCTTTGGGACTTGGGAACACATTCAAGGAAAGTGCTGCTGTTCTCCACACCATAGACAGTTTTATCGAGTGTGATTGCCTGCCCACTGAGTTCATCTAGTAAGTCGAAAAGATTTGATTTAGTTTTACAAGTTGTGTAACTGAGTACGGTTATATTAACCATAACACTGTCACGGTTTAAAACAATTCTAAATTCAACCTGGAGAGATTCGCACAGAGAAAAACTGCAATTAGAAAAGTATTGTTCAATTTATTCTTACAGGTAACACAATCATAAATAAAGTAAAGCAGCTGATTGCATTGAATCATTGACTCTTTGCATTACTCACACAGAGCATGCATGTAGCAACAGTGGAGAGGAAAACTCCCTTTTAACAGGAAGAAACCTCTGGTAGAACCAGGCTCAGTGTGAGCGGCCATTTGCAGAAGCTGACTGGGGTTCAAGGAGACAGAAGCAGACTTGCAGATATCGACATAAATGAAATAAGTTCCTCAGGGCTCAGGCTGCAGTAGAAGACTTTGATGCTGTGTATCAACGTTTTGCTTTAATGATTAACCTTGAAAATTATTAGAGTAGAGTAGTTTTTGGGGCCCAGAAATTGTTGGGGGAATAAGCCAGAGGGGGAGGAGGGACTGAGACTGAGGGAGGAGATGGGGTGGCAGAAAGTTCTAGAGAAGATAGGCCAGGAACTAAATTAAGGGGATCTTGAAAGATCATTGGCGTTGGAGGAGGTGCAGCCCCAAGTTGATTGACTGGAGTTGAACCACGGATATTGCAGATGGTTCTGCTGATAAGCTGATAAGTTTTCCAGATTTAATTTTTACTTAAGCTTCATTTGTCAGCAGACATTTTTTTTTAAAAATGAGATTAGATATAAAAAGAAATAAATACTTATTACTACTGATAAAAAAAGGTGATTCCTACAAAACAGTGAGAGAGTGAAAGCCAAAGGGAATCTTGATGAGTGTTACGTAAACCAAAGGTTATTCTCATACCATCAGAAACATAAAATATACCAATATAACACCAAACTGAAATAGCAGTTTTGGTTGTGTCAAGAAATAAAACTGTCACAATAAAATCTTTTCTTGTTTAAGGACCTTGCTGCTGCAGATCTGAACACTGAGTGAGCGGGTCTCCATTCCTGATATCTTGCCTTCTGGTTCTCCTGCAGAAACACAAGTACAAACAACTTCATGAGTCAACAAAAAAAAAAAAACACTGAAAGTGTCTGTGATAAGATTTATGTCTACTGGGAGTGAGACTGGGTGTCTGTGTGTGTGTGTGTGTGTGTGTGTTTAGGTTTGCATTTGAATGACATTTTGTGCATACAGCAAAACTGCAGGCCAACATAAACAGATAAACTGTAGGCAGGCCATTTCTCGGTTGAAAAAAATTAATTGCCAGGTGGGAAAGTTGGAATTGAACATTAATCAATCATCCCAGGCTGTCAAATGTCTGAAATACAAATACTAAAGATGACATTTTGCACCAAAGTACCTTCAGTATTTTCAATAACAGAACAACAACAAAAGCAGCTATGGAAACAACAAAACAAACTGATTTCTGCCCATCTACTTTATATTGTTTGAAGCCTATTAACGTAGTTTTGTTTAAGCTACCATGTTTATAAAGATAGCATTACATTTAAAATGTTGGAGTTTAAATAACTTTGAAGAAGTGAATCTGTTTTAGTCAGTAAGTCCATTGCAGTCATGAGTGGGAGTATGAACTCAAGAAAAAACACTACATTTACTCCGAACCTCTAATGTCTACCAAGTCAGTTATTTAGTTGAATATCTACCAAAAACAACTGAGGTTACTTATTTTCTATCATAACACATGTTAGGTACATAACTTGGGGACAATTCCAGATTTCTTTATATCTTGTGTGTAAATAGCAGTTTTTGTTTTTTTTGCAACAACTTAAAAGAGTTTGGTCTTTGTACCCTACCCTAAAGGCAAATGATGTATTGTGTGCTAAGAAAATAGAAAAATGGACAAGTAGAAGAGAATAAGATGATTATTTCAAGCTTAAAATCAGGAAATGCTGAAAAATGTAGCATCTTCACTGGTTTGTTGTATGAAAAACTGAATATATAACTGATTGAACTTTAAATCTGACCATGTACACAGTTTTCTTTATGTAACATCTATCAAGGTCATTCTTCCCAAAAAAACCATATACCATAGATTTTTAGATATCCATCATCTGCTAAAATAAAATACAATATATCTAATTCTGAGAGATAAATGAATATAAAATTTTGATTGATACCTCTTTGCCATTGGGAAGTATCTGGAGCATTCTGTGCCATCCCATGCACAGTAAGGGTCCCTTGCCAAGCAGCATTCGGCACATGCCTTTCCGTATATCTCACAGCGGTGTAAAGGCATCTGAGACACACCGATGTCTGAACCAAGATAAAGTTGTTGCTAAAAGATAAAGAGATTAAGTGATCAATATTGGAGAACTGTAAGCAAATGGTTCATTTGAAATAGTTAAGCCTTTAGTGCTTACTGCTGTTTGACTGTTAAACGTAACGACGACTAAATAAGGCCCCGCCCTTAAGAGAGAAGCTATAGGAATCTCTATATCTCTCTGTTTTTATTCCTATTTATAAAAATAATCGTTTTTTTCATATAATATTTCTTCCTAACTGCAGTAATTTTTTTATTTGGAAAGTAGTATTTAAATAAATCAACCTCATATGAGCAATGCTGTTTTGAAAAAAGAAACTCTTATTTTTAAACTGTAGGTAGACTATATAGGCTGATCTCTTCAGCCCCTCGTAACTGTCAATTAGCTGGCATGTTTTCATCTCCCTGTCATTTCAGCTTACAAGCTAACTGTCATTGGAAAGCCAGCAATTAACTTTGTTTATGTGATGACACACAACTTATCTCAGTCTTTAAACCATGGCAACAAAAATCTCTTTGTTCTGTGTCTATGCCCTTAAGGCGTATCACCTCTGAGAAAAAAGGAGTTCTGTGGGCAGGTTTTCTAAACACGCCCTTTGTATAAACAATCACGTAAGCTTTTCAAGTGTTTTTCTTTGCAACAATACCATTAAGATTTCAGAACCAATGTAAGAATCTTTACCTGTTTTGTTGAAAGCTCCATAGCTGTTATTGCTACTGGTTCCTAAAAGAATTAGGAAAGAAAAACAATAATTATACATAGATTGTTGATTTTAATGTCACCGAAGCTTTATCACCTCTTGATATGAAGAGTAACTTACTCTAAAGACAGTCATTTCTTCCAATAACACTTCTTCTAAGTCATGCCAAGAACTTCTGGGGATGGCAACAACTTTCAAAACCGTTCCCATGTCTGAGAAAGCAAAGAAAAAGTTGAGATTTTCACCACCGATAAATTGACAGTAGTTTGGTGCACTTTGTGGGGTATATTTTAGGAATATATTTGAATACCTGTGCCTATGAACATGACATCATAAATGCCATCTTCAGCCTCCACTTTATCAACGACCATTTGAGTAAACTGGTAGTCCACATCTGTTTTGACAATTATTGGTTTATTATTAATTGGATAGATAGGATTAAACATGGCTGGATGGCTTCTGGCAAAAGTGACCACGTCATCAGGGAACTCCTTGGTTGTGTCAAATCCACCAAATGTCTTGCTAGGGCACTGTATAAAAAAATAATGTAATTAGGGAAAATAAAACAAAAATCAAGGGACGCATTGTTAAGCTCTTAGCTCGGTAAACAGGACAATAGACTCACTGTGCCTGGCCGGGGGTAGGGTACACGTCCCTGAAAGGGGACCCACTGATAGCTGGGTCCGTCTCTATGAGCATATGGACCTAAGAATGCTCTTCTTATGTCTGCCATGCTGTACATGCAAACTGCTGAACCTTTGAAGATGTTGCTGAATGAAAATTAGAATGGATGAGATAACAATGAGCATCAATTACGAACACATAAACTACAACAAATGCCATCAAATCTCATGATCTAAATTACTTCACCACACCTGGAAGTGGTGAACACTCCATAGATTGCTGGGCTCTTAGGATCCTTGGTGCTCATCAGAAAGACATCCTCTAAAAGAAAAATGTGGAGAAAATGAATAAGTTGAATTTTGCATCAAAAAATAAAATAATAAATTTTGATATATATGATATGCTGTGCGCTGTTATCACTCACGTAGTTCATCAAAATGTGTGTCAATGCCGTTACTGCCCGGCACAGAGCATATCAGCCGAGCTTTTAAGAAAGTAGTCCACTTATTGACCAGGCTCCTGTGGCCTCCAAGGTCATTCTAAAAAGAAAATTAATGTTCTTAATCAACTGAATCTTTGATAAATCCTTAATTTTTTAGTAAGAATTTTCATGCACGGAATCAAAATTGTTTGCATTCAATGTTAACTGTTGCATGTGAAGTTGATCTGACCAGATTCAAATGCTTGCTTTATCTCATCTCTAAGCTCATGTCTTAGCTTAATTACTGTCATGCACAACTAATATTGCTATGTAATTCTTTATTACACCTACACACTTAATTTTGAAAGTTATACAGGGGTGGAAAAGGGTAAAAAAGTTCAGTCTTGTCAATGCAGAATATACTTGAGGAGAAATGTTAAGAAATTTAATTTTTATTCCTTGCACAGTTGATTGTGCTAATTGCTAATAGAAGATGAAAGAGACACACTTTGTGTTTGTTTAAAAATAGAAAACCACTTTTTCACAAATATCTGCTTTCTCACAAGATTGCATGACCATGTAAGGCACAAGCAATGTGAATGTTCTAATGTATTATACAATAAATCATTAAGAAAATCAAAATCACCTAAAATATGTTTACAAAAACTCATAGTCAGGACACAAAATTCTGCTATAATAATCATAAATATAATGCTCATCACATTTTTATAAGCTAGATAAACAAATGCTCAAGCTTTGTAGAACTCCACATTTATAACTCTTGAATTCTGTTTTAGTGACAAATTGCTTTTCATTTGTTTTTCCAAGTTAGAGGCATACTGTTCCCCACCACCTCAATGTGTTACATTCATTTCCAGAAAGCAGCATGCATACATAAATTCACAAAGTCTTCCCTCACACAAAGGCATTCCAATAAGTAGATTTATAGCCGCCAAATAAAATATGTGCAAATATGCATGGGTTTAAATTAATACCACAACTCGCATAATGAAAGAATTGTCTTGTGTTGATGATAGCAGATTATAGAAATTCTTGGTGATCAGGCTGTTATAAAGAAACCTTGGTCTGCAATGTAACAGGGAAATAAGGCTACTTGTCAAATATGAAATTAACAGATAATGTAAGATGTGGAATATGAAATCTGATACTTAAGAGCAAAGGTAGTGGAGGGAGGATTGGCACAACATTGCAGTCATCTCAACCTATCATGTTCCGATGACATTTAGCCTTCCCTCTCTCTCAGTCTACTCTTTAAAACTGATTGCACCACAATCCAACTCACCCCTTTTTCATGCTAAAATGTGAGTGTTTATCAGATCTTAACGCTGTATCACAAAATGCTGGAAGTTGTGTGCATCTTTTGTGTTGCATGTGGTATTTTGTTTTTTTATTTTTCAACTTTAAAGGCCTGCCTACTATCTGTGTGCATCCTTACTTTGCAAAGCTGTCCAATGCGAGCATATGTGGCTTTTCCAGCATGCTCTCCATCCATTGCATTCTCTCTAAAGAACAAGTAGATTTTGTCGTCCTCTGGATTGTCATTTTCTGGGATCAGATGAACACCTACAAATCTAGGATCTACAAGAGAAAACTTAGTCAAACATTGTTCATTTTAATACTAATATCTATAGATGCAAATAAACTTAGTGGTCAAAAGTGGTGCCTTAGGTGTGGAGCAAGGATTCTGTTCCCCCATTACAGTATTAAACTCCAAATAGTCTAATCACTCCCTGAAGTCTTATAAACTTATATAGTTTATATTATCTCTCATCTTTTAAAATTAGTAAGAACTTAGTAGAACTTTTCAGTCCCACCCTTCTTCACCTGAGAGTTGGTTTGAACATTCTGAGACTAAAAATCATAGTCTAATTGTGATCTTAAAACAGACGAATTGACATTATTTTTTTAAGGTTTAATAAAATTCTTCATTTTTTTTTTTTTTTTTGTTCACTGTAAATCTGATCAAACAGACCAGAAAATCCCTATGGAATTTCAGCTGTAGTCTGCAGGTCGTTGGAACTGGTAACCAATTTCGAAGAGAGTTGCACGCCTGTGAGATGGAAAGCTCAACACCCAGAGAAACAGGGACCAGAGACTATTAATGATTAATACTAGCTGTATAAACTGTCAATTTCTTATTAATAAGTACATGAACAATCAATCATTTCCATGGTTCAATCTTGGAATCTCTGGCCCAACTGGATTTTAAAGTGTTAGACTGCTCCACCACTGCTCCCATGCACATGAGATATACTCTGTTTTTTTTTTTTCAAGACTTGGCTCTTGACTTTAAACTATGATCAACCATCTATGCTTATACTACAGTTATGACACAAACAAAAACGGTGGAAAAGATAAAGCAGAAAGTAACTACAAAAAGCAAGACAAAGAAAACAAATACAGCATATTTTCTTCAGTGGTCAGACAAACCTTGGGATTTAGTTTCATTATGTTAACAGAACTCAGGCTGCATAGCTTCGGCTCTAATAAAGTGTTTTTTATATTAAAATTAAATCTTGGAGAGAATTGATGTTACGCTTCATGCTTTCTGTATGAAGGGCAGTATTTTCAGCCAGATACACAATGCCATTCAAAACTGTATCTGTTAGAATTCTAGTTTTTAAAGTAATGCATGACCATGGTAAATAAATGCTAAAACAATTTTTCACAATTTGTTTATATATGTTAAACATATTAATGTTTGACCCACTCAGTCTTTGAGGGAATACATGTAAAACAAACACCATGTGGTGTAAGTCAGAAAACACTAGCACCAATATCTTTTAAGAACATTTTAGTTTGGTTTCAGCATTCTCTCTTATGTGATAGAAGTATTTCTGCTCCCACATTTTTTTTATTTATTATTATTTCACTCAGTGAGATTGTGGAGATAACCCCCCAATGTTAGATTAATCCTTTAGCGATTCTGCTGATTTTGTCTCAAATTTTGATTTTGTAATTTTACTAAATCACTTCAACATTTAAATATTCTTATAGACAAACAATTATTCTTATAGACAAACAATTGTTTTACTACATTTCATGTACTGTATTTTTTTTTTATAATTAACAAACAGAATACATTGTCTATATTATTTTTATAGTCTTCTGTAGGACAGGTTGGCTACCCATCCTTTATATATAGTTGCTTGACATTGCATGGTCAGAGAGAAGGTTTATGACAGTCAGAAATAGCTTGCAAAAGGAAATTGCTTGTAGTTCTTTTGGTTTCCCCAGAAGTATGGTAAGACCATACAGCAGTTGCGTTAAAAAAATAGTGACCTATCAGTATGAAAAACTACTGTCAGGAATTGCATAATTGTTGATACTAACACAATGTTATAAAGTTAGATTTTTTTTACCCAAATAAGAAATTCCTATATGGAGCAGTAAAAAATAACACTTTACAAACATTAGAGGTCCCCTAAAGCTCAGGAAAATTGTTTAGGATCTTGGATTTATTGAGATTGATATCGCTATTGCATTGTTTTGTGAAGTGCAGCCTTATTGACACGTCAATCATTTTTCCTATTGAAATTGTTTCCTATTTCATAGGCATCATTAAACGTAAATGGTGATTGAGAAGCCATATATATATGTATGACTATGTATCTCGACATATATATGCCTGTGTATCCCCCAAAATACACACAAAGGAACATAAACTGATCTGCTAAAGTTTAAAGACATGAGAATAGTCAAAAAATGTTCAGTGAAACTTTAAGATACCTTATTAACACAGAAGCCAGCAGACAAACTGAAGCATAGAATCCTCCAAACTTACCATTCAGCCACCTGGAGTCATGTTGCTCTGTTCTGATTGGGTGATGCTTGCCAAGAGTGCGAAAGATAGCAAAGTCCCGCCCCATGAAGTCGGCTGATGTTCCAGCGTACAACTCCCCATCTAAAAAGGAGGGGATTGATTAGTGGTAGCATAGTAACCTGAGAAGAACAAAAAAAAAAAAAAAAAAGGCTTTTTGCCCCCGTTGGCTAGATTTAGAAATCTAAGGAATTAAAAAGGGGCTTAGCAGCATAGGTAGATTTTACATCCTCTGAGAACAACAAAGGCATGACAAACATTAAGAGTGTGAAATCGACTTTAGAACAGAAGGCAGGGCAAGGATGGGAGGTTGGGAAATGATGAACGGATTGTTAGTCAGATGCTGAGGGAGAGAACAGAAGTGTGAGACAAGGGGAGTACATAATAATGCTGGTGAGAAAGAGAGAGACAAGGGAGAGGAGATAAGGGTTGATGGGCTGGAAAATAGCCATCTGCTTGGGTAAATGAGGTGGTATAACACAATATGATCACACATAATTGGGGGTCAAGAGAAATATCATGCTCATACACCTCTGCTTTATTTGCCAGGAAAAGGAAGGATAGAGAATTAGAGCCAAATACACCCAATAAAGTGTCATTGACCACACATCTGCACTATTTGAATGACATAAGTCCAGACTGAAATAGAGTTTACAGTCCTGCAAATGACAGGTTCTTAGGGTGTAAATACAAAGCATCCACAGATGCAATACTCCTGTTCTGTTATTTACATTGACGTCACACAGTGTGTACCCACTGAAATGAAAGAGCAAGGCGCAGGGCGTCACATTTTACTGCACACATTCAGGACCACACAGAGTATCTTTCAATAAACTCACCAATTAACATTGAAGCCGTGAGAAGCTTGGGATCATAGGGACTCTTCCCTCTGCCATTTTCTACAAAGGGTGCCAGCCTGAAAACACCATCCTGCATATGCAGGAAGAGACAACAAACCAGGGAGGGATTGTAGATTACTATCAAACACAGGAAGTGGGCACAGTGTTCTACTGACGTAAACTCCATACACAAAATCAGAGCTCCAGTACAAGCAGAATTTTCCTTATCTTTACATCGATTGCTGCTGCTGACTCTTTATGACATCCACAGGATAATAGAAATTCTAAAAGCTACATGTGCTGATGAGATTTGAACTTAAATATATATATATTTTCTTTTTCATCAAAATATTTGGGCCTAAATAATTATTAATTTTTTTTCAGCAAATATTTCTTTGTATATTAGCTTAATGCTTTGTCCCTGTAAGGATTAGTACCAAATTATATTGGGGCGCGATAGCATTGGATGCTTGTTGGTTCAAGCCCTGGCTCAGACTTTCAATGTCTTTGTGTCCTTGCAGGACAGGACACCTCACCCACATTGCCTGCTAATGGTTGGGAGTGGAGATGCCAGTTTATGGCAGCCGTGCTTTTGTCAGTGAGCACCAGGGCAGCTGTGGCTATAATGTAGCTTGCCACCAGTGTGTGCGTGAATGGGTGAACTGCTTTGGTCAAAGTCTCCTTAGTTGAAAAAGTGCTATAGATGTACAGGTCATTTAGCTTTGTTTCTATATAGATTGTTACAAAAGTATTCATACCCCTTAAGCTTTGTCATATTACAGCCATAAACTTCAAAGATTTTAACGGGATTTTAACAACCATTTCAAGTTAGAGTATACAAAAGAAATGGTAGTAAAATTGCTAAACCTTTCTCCAAAGATTAGAAACGAATTTGTAAATGTTCTTTAGTCAATACTTTGTAGAAACACTATTCAATAGATTGACAGCGACAATGTATCTGCCAGCTTTGCACAAGCAGAAACAGATTCTTTTGTCCTTCTGTGTCCGTTATTGTTTGAAAAACAGCTCAAATTTAGTCCGATGGGATGAAGAACATCTGCAAATACAGAGTTTTTTTATTTTTTTATTTTTTTAGTAGGATCATTATACCGGGTTGTTGCACAGGGTGTTTACACTGGTATTCATATAGATGGATATTTATATTTATAGCTATTGCACTGGGTGTCAAATATAGAGAAACAATTATTTTACAGGGTATCAAATGATAAATTTCACATCATACATTGCACAAGTTATTGCCGTTGTAGTGTCGCATTGTAGAGTCTGGTGGCAGCAGGGCTGAATGACCTGCTCCTTTTTACAAACAGGGTATATTGAGTCCTTCACTAAAAGAGCTGCTCAGCTCCTCTACTGACTGGTGCAGAGGGTGGAAGGTGTTGTCCATGATGGATGTATGCTTGGACAGCACCCTCCTCTCAGCCACTTCCTCCACTAAGTTCAGAGCGCAGCCTAGGACAGAATCAACCTTTCTTACTAGTTTGTTCCGTCTCTTTGTGTCCCGCTCTACGCTGCCAGGGGCCCAGCAGACAAGAGTGTGGAGGAGGGCTGATGCCACCACATAGTTAAAGAAAGTTTTAAGCAGGGGCCTGCTCACTCCAAAGGATCTCAACCTCTTCGGGAGGTGGAGATGGCTTTGGCACTTCTTATGCAGGGCGTTAGTGTTATGAGTCCAGTCCAGTTTGTTATTGACATGAACGCCCAGGTATTTGAAACTCTCCACAGTTTGTATGTCCTGCCCCTGGATATTCACAGGGGAGTGAAGTGGGGGTCTTCTTCTGAAATCGATCACCATCATTTTGGTCTTACTGGTATTAAGATACCATTCACACTGCATAAGGCTACCAATACCATGCATTTTTGTGGTTGCTGTGCAGTGTTAGTTCTTTGCCACTCACAATAGGTAATTAGTTAGAAATTTTTTTTTGTTAAAGTCTCATCTGACAAGAGCAGCTTCCGTCAAAAGTTGGCATTAACTTCAACGCTAGTAGCAAACAGAAAATTGGAAACCTTAAGATTTTGTTTCAACTATGGTTTTGTCCTTACCAATTTTTTGTCAAATAATTTTAATTTTCAGTTCCTAATACACTGCTTAATTTTGTTCTGTCAATTAAAATTCAAACTAAGTAAAGTACATTGAAACTTGTGGTCGTAACAGGAGAAAACATGAAAAAAAGTTCCAGGGGTTTGAATACTTTTGCACAGTAATATATATATGATAACAATGTGTTATGTGTGATTCTGTCAATGCCTTTAAAAATCAAACTACCAGTGCATAAATATATAATCAATTATTAGTCATTGAAAGGAATGGAAGAAAAGATTTCTAAAACTGTGGCTGTGACTTCAGCACTAATTAGTTACATTCTATTTTATGCTCCACATGGAGTACACAGGTTTTCTTAGGGACATTTCCTTGCCCTAATGGTCTCTAAATACCAACCTAATTAGTAGGAAACCAAATTTATAAGTCTGGCATTTAGAGGAGAGCAGTTCTTCTTTTTCAAATTCAAATGAGCAGTAACATAGGAGAACATATCAGTACTTGAACTGAAACTTGTGTTTAATCTCTATTATGATGTAAATGTTTAAGCACTACTGTATATCACCAAGTCCCACTTGACAAAAGGATTTTAAATCTCTATTAAGTTTTACCTGGTTAAATAAAGTATATTCATTGTAAAACCTCTGTTATTTCATTAAATAATCCCTTTTCAAATGTGCGCATCATATCACCTTCATGTAAACATGGTGCATGAAATTATTATCTACAGCTCACATGCAAAGGAGTAAAGCACACCCTTTCTTTCAGTGTGTGAGTGTGTGTGTGTGAATGGGTGAATGAATGTAGTGTAAAGCGCTTTGGTCAAGTCTCCTGACTTGAATAAAGGTGCTATATAGGTACATGCCATTTACTATTTCTTTCATGGGTGTAATTGTATCATTGTTTCTGGCAGCAGATAAGTATAGAAATAGATTTGAAAACTGTACCTCTGGTTTCTTGCCGACCTCCAGGTAGGAACATACAGGGTGGAAGGCTCCTGTCCCACACACATAGAAATGGCTCTGGTTGAACGGCTGCAGTAATTTTATGAAATGTGCACACTCTCTCTTATGAAGAAAAGCCAGAGAAAACACAAACATAATTAAAAATAATCATTTTCTTGCAACTGCACAACAACCTTTAAAGCGTGGTGGATTTTGAACAATCTTTTTCTTAAAGCAAGTTTAAACTTCTTCAGAGAAAATGTAAATCTTAGTCTTTAACTTATTTTAAATTATCCAATATTAAATTCAGTCATTTAGAATAACTTACATATTTGGTTATAGATGTTTAAGGGACCTCACAGAGATCTTGACTTTAGAATTCTATAGATAGAGTGTCACTTTCCTTAAAATCCAAGCATTTTCTACATAAGCTTTTAGGGTAATCTGAAAGGGTAGCTGCACTTCTACCCTATGCATCTTTGCTTGTAGATGTTGAAAGTCAGAAAGTTAGACATTGCTGTTCAATCATGCTACAACAGGATTAAAAAAACAAACAAAACTAAACTAAGGAAACAGGTCTGAACAAAAGTTATGGCGCACCTAGAAAGGACAAAAAATAATGTGACCAAAGAGACATGTTAAATCACGATGTGTTGACTAAATAGCATTGCAGGTGCCTACAATCTTGTAATCAGCCTTTGGGCTTACATATAGGGCACCGGGGTGTCAGTGCACTTTGGTGACATGATATATGCAACACAACATGGACCACAGGAAGTTTTCTGAGTTGCTTTGAAAGAAAATGATAGACAAGCATCTTAAAGGTAAAGGCTATTATATCTTCTTCAAGCAGCTTGAACACAGAGTGTCTTGAATCTCTGCAGGGTGCAATGAAATCTCAAGAACATTAAGGGATTCTAGAGAGAAATGTGCTGCCAAGAGTCAGAGAAGTTTGATCTCAGTTGCTGGTCATGGGTCTTGCAACATGATAATGACTGAAAACACTTTGTTCATATTCATATCTAACAACTTGGGATTAATGATTGATTATTATTTGAGAGTTATGACAATATCAAAGACTTTCACAAATCAAATATTGTGAAATGCTTTTCCATCTCTAGACCTGAATCCTATGGATACATAGATTTTCCTCTCTAGACTTTACATTTAATGATTTAGGCTTGTAGCATACAAGCAAACTTCCTGTATTACAATATAACAATGACTTTATCTTTCAATGCGGAGATTTTGTTTTCAAATATCGTAAGGACATAGTCAATTTTCTGTCTAGATTAATATACCAAAACAGACATTTCACAGCATGGTGTTCGTTCCTCTCATATACGCTAAAATGGCCCCTGTACAAATATTCTAAATCTATTTTCACATAGATATGATAGGCAGACAAAAAATAAATAGTTTAAAAAAAGGATTGTTCTAAATAAGGTGTAATTAACTTAAGCTGGACAGTAAGTTATATGAAAACCACTTGCTAGCCATTGGCTTTACATATGGTTTGGTTTATAAAATGAATTAAATGTATACGGTAATTAAAATAACCTGTTACTGCATATTTTGTAATCAGATTAGTTTCATAGCTAAAATTTGCATGAAAAGGGGGACTGTAAATCATTTTATGATTTCAACTTGTTTTCTTTAAGTAATTTCAATATATCAGTATAATGTGTCATCAAAATCTAGATTAATCAGACCTGATTCTGAATAATCTAGATTTTTAACTATGCTGCAGAATGTCTAATTTGTGAATTGTGGTTTCATTAACTAATACAGCAACAAAAAATAACAAAAGGCACTATACTGAGGGATGAAAACTACACAATTTAAACTAAAGCACTTTTCCAATTCTTTCAAAAGACTTTAAATAACTTTTCAATAATTTTAAATGGAATCTATAGTTTAGGACATAGATTACAAAAGCTTTTGTCTTTTCATTTGATTCTTGTAGCGTCTCTAACTTCAATCAATCTTATTTGGTTCTTTTGTCTCTGCTTTGTTTGTCTCTGCTTTGATTTAAGACTTTTACAGGGTTTTTATGGATGCCATCACCTTTTCTCTCCGTCTCCCTTATATCTATCTTTACAACAGATAACCCTCCCTTAGGGGGGATCTTTTTTACATCACATCATCTCAATGTTTACAGAAAACACACAGAAGACTTCACAGTTTTTTAGTTCCATAGCAGAGGTGAACAGAATGCCAGAGGCTCTTGACTTTTTCTGGTTAAAAGAAAGAAGAAAAACAACTGAGCCAAAAACAGCATCAACAAGGTCTTGCATCCAAGTTGTGCTGGGGGGCCTTTAAAAGACAAAAACCATCACTTAAAGGAAACAGAGATAAAACTGTGGTTGTGTTTGCATGGGATTTCTGCATATCAAGAAATTTAATCTAACAAGAGCTATAGGATTTTGATAAACAAAATTGTTTTAATTGCATCAGCTTTAATTTTAGATGTGTATTCAATGCATCTTTATTTTTTCTCCAAACAAATAAATTCCACCAAAATTGAACTACAATATTTTATTCATATAAAATGATAGCCCTTTTGAAAATGTTTTGCACTATCAATTAACTAATAGTGATTCATAGTGACATTCTCCAGGCAGAGTTTCATTTTAGTATTTGTTATCCAAATACTAAAATCATTTTTAAATAAGACAACCTTAGACAAAAAAGAGAAAGCAAATCGGTAGTGGTGCTAAAAGCTGTTGGGACATTTGGTGCAGGAGAAAGGGTAAAATGAAAAAAAGCCAAACTTCAACACTGCTAAAATTAAAAATAGAATGCCTTCAAACAATTGTTTTATTAAAATACATTCTCAATGTTTTTATTAATTCACCAAGTTTTTTTGTTACGAGAGTCAGATGAGGATAAGTGAATTATTGGCAGGTAGCGCTCAGGAGTGTTGGCAGAATATAAAATAGGCTGAAAATAAAAGAAAGACTAAAAAGGCACAATTTCCCCACAGTGTTCTTTTTAATACCTCTCAAAATTACAAGTTATTAAAGGATATATCTGTGCAGTATATGTCAAAGTTTCATAATATAGCATATTATGAAATCAGTCTGTGCTTTTTACACAAACTGATACTTCAGTTGAGGAGATAAGCCATCCAATTCAGATGTTCTTAATGCTTGTAAAATCCGCAGGTTAGGACCTGAAGCTCCATGTTGATAAACACAATGAAAACAACAATTGCTTAAGATAATAAATTCTATCATAAATAATAACTAGAACATTATTAAAGTCTGTAATTCCTTTTTTTTTTTTGTATTATATGTGCACATATACATGTGCATTGCTTTGGCTTGCCCAAAAGTAAAGCATCCTTTTATCAATTATAAAATGAGGTCCATTTTGCTTTGTGAATCCGCTGCTGATAAAGGACAGAGATCGCTATAAATATCTTAAGAAAGGTGCTTTCCAGACATAAAATCTGTTCTGCAACCAAAAAAAAAAAAAGGAATGGTTGTTGCATGAAAAAGACTCATTTTAAACATAATCTAGATAGCTGGATGGCTTACCAGGAGATTTTTCCCTGCCCACTTGCATTCATCTCTTCTGGTGGGAGAAGCAGTCCAGGGGATCTGCAACACAAAGTTTATGCAATAAAGGCCTCTTCCTGCATCTACAATAATTTCTGTATCAGTGATAGAGCTACAGCATGTGTAAAGAAGTGTGTTTTTGAGAGTGGAAGGGGTCACAGTGAAGTTTGTCATCCACTTTGTTTCGGTTTACAGCATGAGTCACCCAGGTGTGCAGAGTGCAGCAAACATGTCTGTAACAGAGGTTGTCTGCATGAGACAGCCCTAGTCTGAAATATACATGAAGCACTTTTTCTTTAGAAAAAGAATCCCAAGGTACCTGAGGCTAGCACTCTGGTTTGAGACAACTAGTCGTGTAAGTCGGTCAGAAACCGATTTAAGGTCATAAATGAATAAAACTGGCAAACACAGCACATCCGAACCGCATGCTTTACCTGTGCTTTGTCTCTGCTTATATTGAGGAGGTTGAAAGAGAAAATGTGATCCTTTGCTCCCACCAGAAGCCTTCCTTTCTCCTCATCCAACACGAGAGTGTGATACGCCGAGCTATTAGCCAAGCCTTCAAATGTTACCAGGTTGTTGGTCTCTAACATTTCTGTGGAAAGAAAAATGGAATTGGCATTCTACAGTTATAAAACATTAGAATATGTTTAATGCAAAAAGAAATTTCAAAATCCACTGAACTTAAAAAGGAGTTCTAACAACATCTTTGCATATATAAAATATTTGTTACAGTAAAATACCAGATAAAAAGGTGCCCCAACATAATTTTTCAAGCTTTTACTCCCAGAAAGATTTTCCTGGTACTTTGTTTGTTAAAGCAAAAATAAAAACTACAAAATAAAAATAAAGAGCTACAAAATAGTGTGAAATCTATGAAAAGCCAGTGCTAAAAAACAGACTGTGACTGTTAAAAGAGCTACCAGAAAGAGCTACACATACTAGTGGGATATTATATCAATCTGCTTATGTTTTACAGACCAAGTGTTGAGCTTTTATTTATGTACACCATTTGTTTCAACACTTTGTAATCCACTTTAGCCCACTCTTTGGAAGTGAGCTAAAGAACTGGTTTACATTAAAAGACTGGAAGACTTGTCCAACAGTGCCTTTGTTTCAATTACAGACCCATGGGTGACGTTTTAAGACTGGGATTGGAATACTGTGTGTATGTAACATGTTAATGCACAAAGAAATACACATAGTAATTTATTTTCCTTTTCACATTTGTCTTGCCAGCAAAGTCTTACAAGACTATGACCCCCTTAACTTTCATTCTTCCACTGGCAGCCTTGCAAAAGCTACTAAAAATTCTGGAAACACAAGAAAAAAATCCTTGTTGGGTGTTCTGCAGTTTTATTTCTTTATTTCTAAGTAAGATAAAAGAGACAAACAGAATCACTCATAAATGCTTTATCAGAGAATGCCCACTTCTCTGAAGTATGTCAGAGCCCGAGAGAGAGAGAGAGAGAGAGAAAGAGAGAGAGAGAGAGAGAGGCAGAAAGGCTAATTAAAGTAGTAAGTGATAAAGAACATTGCAGAAGAGAGGGAGTCACACTGACTTCTTTGCTTATTTAAAAGCTTATTTTTTTTTTAAAACAACAGACCACCAAACAATGCCCCGAAAAAAAAAAAAAAACTATTTCCCACCTAACCAAATAACAAACAATCCCCTGTTGTAAAGAAAATCCCACAGCAAACAAACAAGGCAACACATGGAGACAAATACTAATAATAAACATAACACATCCTGTTAACATTGAAAAAAAAAGGAAAACAACAAATCATGAAAACCTTCCAATGTAATGTGAATATAATAATGCATCAATAATAATAATTATTATTGTTATTATTAGTATTATTATTAAAGTCAAACAGCTAGACCCAGAAAGCTGAATAAAAAATACACAAAAAAGTAATCAAAGAAAGAAAAACCTCCAATCAAGTTTTAAAGCTACAGTGTGTAATTTTTAGCGACATCTAACGTCCAGACTGCAGACCGCAGCAACATGAACATCTCCCC